CTGATGAGTCGGTGAAACTCCGACGAAACAGTTTGTCACAGCCCCTCGTTTGTTGTCCTCTTCTCTCTCTCTGCCTACGGTTTTACCGGGCAGTTCTGTTTGTGACGATATATATTGTATGTTGTTTTTCTCCCTCTGTGCCTACGATTTACCGGGCACAGCTCTGTTTGACGATATGAGTCGGTGAATTTCCGATGAAACAGTTTGTCACAGCCCCTCGTTTGTTGTCCTCTTCTCCCTCCCTCTCTGCCTACGGTCTTTCGGGCGGCTCTGTTTGACTATATATATGGACCATTCCTCGATTTATGCGTGTCATTCTTTCTTTGTCGCTCCAAGTTGCATGGGTCTCCTGAAGGACCGTCTGCGACGGTTCGAGTACTCGTGTGCACTGTTTTGTGGAAATTTTTGCCTGCTGGCTTTTTAAACTTTTCTCTTTTTGAAGTAGCTGTCATCCGTCTGTAGATTGTGCGCAGGCGGTCCCTGTCTGCGAACAGTTGTATTGTGCGCCTCTTGCTGGTAATCCAGCCTGTGGTTCCGATTGATGCTGTTCTGTCGTGAACTGAACAGGCATTGAGGCTGCATTTTGAATCACAATGATGCAAAAGATGGCGAAGCTTTTATCGTGTCCTGCCTGAAATGCGTATGATGCTCGTCTTGCTGGGTAGTGCTGGGCTCTGTCAACTACAGTGTTCACCCGAATAAAACGCCCGGTAATTATCGCTGCATGTGGACGGATAGTTGTGCCAAATGCAGCTACAATAACCGAGAGTTCTATTCGGGTGAAGACGGTAGTACCGTCGTCCGCTGAACGTAATTTATGCTTATCGCGACTGTACGGGAGCGGAAACAGAGCTTGCATATGTTCATGATGAGGGTACGCTGTATTCGGGTGAAGATGGTACCCATTGTGGGTTCAGTCGCTGTATTCCGCTGAAATGCAGACCTGATTCCTGTTCAGTTCACACAGAGCGGCCGCGCAGCCGCTCTGTGTGAACTGAACAGGAATCGGGTCTGCATTTTGCATCACGATCATGCAAAGATAGCTCAGGAGAACCAATCGTGCAAAGATAAGGTAGAGCGCAGTACAAAAGAAAGCAGAACTTTCTGGCATTGGCTTGGTGGGTCCGTTCTTCGCCGTCCACGGGTATCCTGATGAGAAACAATCGTGCGAAGATAAGTAAGGTAGAGCTCAGTACAAAAGAAAGCAGAACTTTCTGCCATTGGTTTGGTGGGTCCGTTCTTCACCGTCCACGGGTATCTCCCTACGGCGTTCTTTCAGATTGTCTCTGTAGCTGCGATTGGTTGCCAACCGCCCCCACTTTGCTGCTCTGTTCTTTGCTGTGGGATAGCTGTCTACGGTCCGCCAATCACCCCCGCCTGCGGCAGTATCCTGAGGTCGCGTCGGCATGCACGGGGTCTCTGTATATATAACACCACCTTTGTCCGCGACGGCCTTCCTGCTTCCCAATAGCGTAGAGGGGGCTAGTAGCCTAGCTGCGATTGGTTGCCAACCGCCCTCACTTTGCTGCTCTGTTCTTCGCTGTGGGATAGCTGTCTACGGTCCGCCAATCACCCCTGCCTGCGGCAGTATCCTGAGGTCGTGCCGGCATGCACGGGGCCTCTGTATATATACCACCACCTTTGTCCGCGATGGCCTTCCTGCTTCCCAATAGCGAAGAGGGGGCTAGCGGCATCTGAGGAGGCGCGCGGAAAAAGAACTGCAGCTGTGTGAATCTTGCCCTTCGGATCGTCATCTTGACGGTCCAAACCCATCGCCCAATAATATGGGGTCTCCCCACGCCTTAGGTCTGGCCACTCTGGAGTTCAGCGGAATGAGAGGTTTGGTTAAATTGTTTCGGAGGAGTGTGGTGGCAGAAGACCTGCGGCGATTCGCTGCTGCGTTTCTCTCTTTCTGGATTTTGATGCTATTTGTCTCGCTCAAGATCCTGCGGTGCTCTCAACGACCTCTTGGTCACTGCCGTTCACTCTCTGCCTTTTTTTTTTTTTTTTGGTCGGTTTGGACCATTTCTCCATTTACCCCTGTCATTCTTGCCAAGGGGCCATGGCAATTAAGCTTCCTTTGTACCGTAACCCTCATTCCAAAATTAACGGATGTCGCAAAGGACTTAGTCTTACGACCTTCTAAACCTGTGCCCATCGCTCATCGTTCGCCGGGTTATGTAGCCGTGGCGATCCTTCATCGGGTTATGTAATGGTTGATAGCATAACTTTTTTCATTGTGTTTTCCGGTACCACAAGACTTTTTTTTTTTTCTTTTTTTTCTTGCTGCCGTGTTGTTGGTGCTACTTGCTGCCGTGTTGTCGGTGCTCTATCGTCACTTGTTGTGTTCCCATACAAGAAGCAGTCTTAGGGCATTATCGACACGGGGACTTTTGTCTTGATGCATCTGACTGCAATTCGGTTAGTACTGGATGTATCTGACTGCAATTCGGTCAGTACTGGATGTATCTGACTGCGGTTATGCCCAAAATTCGTAAAAAAAGTTGTGGTGTCAGTATGCCCTCGCCGCCTTTCCTGGTGTTGTTTGATATCTGTTTTGTGAACTTTTATCATTAAGTTTTATGTCACTGTGATGCAACGGTGCTGATAATGATTGATTTGCTCACCTGGATATATCTGGCTGGCGTGTGGCGTGTGGTGCGTGTGGCGTGTGGCTTGTGGGGTGTGTGGGCTGTGGCGTGTGGTGTGTGTTGTCCGTGTACCTCATTGGCTGGTGTGTGGTGTGTGGCATGTGGTGCATGTGGTGTGTGGGATGTGTTGCATGTGGCACGAGGTGTGTGTGGGGTGTGTGGCGTGTGGTGTGTGTTGTCCGTGTACCTCATTGGCTGGTGTGTGGCGTGTGGTGCGTGTGGTGTGTGGGATGTGTTGCGTGTGGCGCGATGTGTGTGTGGGGTGTGTGGCGTGTGGTGTGTGTGACTGTCGTCGGTTGTGGGTTGCGCTGTTGCCATGCAGAAGCAATATGAGGATATCCCCGTCCTAGGGCAGCGGACAGGGGGTTCGGATGATGAATAACAATGTGATGGAAGGAGGAAGCATGCTCGAAGGCTGTCTCTTATACACATCTAGATGTGTATAAGAGACAGTGTGTAATGTTCGTGCACGCATATGTAACTTTCATGCATGCATGCATGAATGTGAAGTTCATGCATGCATGCATATGTAACGTTCATGCATGCCT